TTTAGAAAAAAATAAGCGTCTACATGAGGGCGGCGATGATAAAAAAATATATTAAAAAAGTGGCTGAGAGAACCAAATATTTCTGGAAATACGCTAAAAATTAGAAATGATAAATAAAATTTCGACTTTTAAAAGCAAGTTCCTTCATATATTTCTAAAAACAAATAATGAAAATTAAAATGTAATTAAAAACGAAATATTGCATTTGTTAGTCAAATGCAATATTTCGTTTTTAATTACATTTTAATTTTCATTATTCTAAATGATTATATTGTTAATCATGGTTTAATATGCTTGTCTTGCAAACAAATTCGCTATTGAGTTTGATTCCTCTCACCTTGGATTCTCCGTTGCTGTTGTCTTGTACACGCTGTTTATTAAATAATTTGATTAATAGAAAAAATGAGTGAAACTCTAAGCTAATTTATACGTATGTATAATAGATACATTCTCATATTTTTATAGATACATATACTCACACAATTCTTTATTTTATGTTCAGCTTTTGCGTGCGTGTTTATATTCATGAGTAATATTTTAATATTATGTTTACGTATATAAAATACACATACACACAAGCAAAACACACACACACGTGTGTGTGTGTGTGTGTGTGTGTGTGTGTGTGTGTGTGTGTGTGTGTGTGTGTGTGTGTGTGTGTGCATGCGAGTGTTCTCCGCGCCAGTGTGTGCGTGTTTGTATGTATATAGCACTCTGAGAGCCCTTTAATTGGCCTTTTTTCCCACTCTAGAAAATAATGGCGGCTGTTCATCGTGCACTATTTTCTCGCCCTACGGACTTTTCGTATAGCAGGAAAGTAAGAACAACGTAATGAAAGTGAGAATGTCACTTAGGAACAAAGGTAGTATTTCTACACCTGTTCTTAAAAAACTGAAACAAAACAAAATAACAATGAAGACGTAGAGATCAGTAAGTAGAATCACCCCCCGCACACACACCGCCAGGAACGAGCCTAACGTAAAAGAGAAATTATAATGCGTGTGATGAGACATCAAACTATGGATAATATTGTTGGTGGCAATATAGGGGTTAGATTGCAAGTGTTCTTGTCGGGACTGGTAGGTTTTTCTGAAAAAAAAATGATTTCATAAAAAGATTTTGTTGTTGGCATGTACTCCGAGAAAGAAAGAAAATTGAAGAATAGAAATTGAACGAATAAAGAATAAATAAAGTGCTACAAAATTAAAGTAAAATGAAAACCAATTCTGAACATTTCATTTTATCTTTATTTTTCAAATGTAGCTTTTATTAGCGCTTAATTCCCTTTTAAAACAGAAAATGCAAAAAGAAATTTGATATTTGAATCGCCGTTTCTCGCAATCGCCTGAGGCTGAATTGTATCCATTATGAGAGTAAAATAGTTATTAAAATGGTTTCGTTAAAATATACAATTTTCATTGAAAGTGAATTAAATTATAGAAAATTTATTAAATACGAACAAAACAGAAACCAAAAAAGCAAAAGTGAAAATAAAAACTAAAATGGTATGAAATGGTGAGAAATTTCCTGTAAAACTGACTGTAATTAATTGGGGATCCAAAATGAAAAAAGTAATGCATTGTCTTAAAGACTTTTTGCCAATATTTACAGTCATCTGAAGAAAACACATGGAAATAAGTCAGTTTCTTTCTCTCACTAGATGTCTGTGTATATATAGTACATTTATGATGGCGCCAGAATAAGCAAAGCTTACTAATATATAATTTCCTTAACATTGTTGGAATATTTTACATCAATCATTTATTATCTAAATCTTAGTGAGATAAATACTGATGAGACCAAATATTATCAGTGGTGATATGGGGTGGGAGTGTTCAAGAATGTCAATTGCTATCATAACTTACGCATATAAGGATTAGCGGTCATATCAGGGTCGAGGTCTTTGTCTTGATCTGTTGAATACTGCATTCATGAAAAAGAATTCGAATGACTTTGACAAAGACTATATTGCTTTAGCCAGAAAAGTTGGTCAGAGCATTTTTGAAATGATATCACCATCACGTTGTACTGAGTACGTAATAACAGTGATCCCAGATGTAAACAATTAGCGATCGTCAACAAGTCCGGTCAAGATTTATCGATTAAAGAATTGAACGTGGGTATACTTGTCAAGTACAAGCCAAGCAAGGAGCTACTATGGCTCAAATTGAAGATATCTTTAATCAGGGTGAAGAAAGGAATGCGTCAAATACAGTATATCGATCCTGGTTATGCCTGCTGCTGTATTGGCGCTACCTAGTCAGGATATCCAGACAAACCAATGTCCATTGCCACAAGCGTCGTCAATGAACAAGCGAATTGAACCTTGTCTTAATGGAAGAAGATCGCCTTGTTCGATGAGTTTTATTCTCTCCTGAATAAACTATCAAACAAGGAAAATAAGGCCAGGATATACTATAGAAAACAATTAGCCAGTGAAGGCATTATTCTGCTGGGAAGAATTATTCATGTAAAATGTATTTTGTCACCTTCCACCTACCTGAATATCATTGAAAACCAGGCGAACTTTCTGATGGCGTGAGACTTCAACGATGACCGTGGCATTTTTTACAATGACTATACACACTACCACTCATGAAAGAGTTGAATGGGAATCAGATGCATTGGATCAACAAGTTCACTTGACAGTATCATCACGTAATTTTCAGCAATTAAAACCCACTGTTGATATCCATGTGCCAGATCCCAGAAGAAAAATATACAGATTTTCTACAGCCTATGCTTCACATTGTAAGAGCCGTTTTACTGGTACGTAAAGGAATAACAAATTATGGATGTAGGACTATATCTTTGTTTATGTACGTTTATATGTGCATTCGTGTGTGAAGGAGACGGGAAAGAGAAAGTTTTATTGTTGTTTTTGTGTGTGGATAATAATAATTAGAATTGACAGTGTGTGACATATATATTCGTTGTGAATATAGTGATAGCATAGAAAAATCGTATTTATTTTTGTAAGAAAGGTGTACTTTTTTGGATGGAGACCCATAAAATAATCACCATATATGCAATAATGAAATCATAAGTATACTTATAGAGAGATTGTGTATTGATATATCTATAAGTTGAAAGGCGCAATCTTGATGTGGAATTTCCACTGTATAAAGTTTGAACATTATGATTTATTAATATCATTGACAAGAAATTTTGCGCTGAAAAATAAACGTTTTATGTGTAAAATAAATACTTTTTGTATCGTTAAGCTACAAAATACTACATGTTCCTACATATTCACCACTGAGAAGATTATATTGAAAAATAAATACTGTGTTTTTAATGATAAAAATACTTTTTTACTAAAAAAGACAAACATTTTCTTTATCATTAAATTGCAGGTTTACTAATATATCTATGTACATTGCATCGACAGTATTAACTTCTTTCAACATTTCCAATATATTCATGAATTGAAGAGAACTTTCGCCTGTCTTTCAGCTTTATACTAACGTCTATTTAGAGATGTTTTTTTACTGTCTTTGTTGTTTATATTGTTGTTCTTTGTTTGGGAGCATTTTTGTCTCGTTCATCCTTTTTTTAACTCGTTCATCCTATTTTGTTCTTGTTCATCCATTTTGTTCTTGTTCACCCTTTTTTGTTTTGGTACATCGTTTTTGTTCTTGTTCATCCATTTTTATTCTCGTTCATCCTTTTTTGTTCTCGTTCATCCTTTTTAGTTCTCGTTCATCCTTTTTAGTTCACGTTCATCCTGTTTTGTTCTCGTTCATCCATTTTTATTCTCGTTCATAATTTTTTGTTCTCGTTCATACTTTTTAGTTCTCGTTCACCTATTTTGTTCTTCTTCATCCTTTTTGATCTCGTTCATTATTTTTTTGTCTACGTTCATCCTTTGTTTTTCTCGTTCATCCTTTTTTGGTCTTGCTAATCCTCTTTTTTCTAGTTCATCTTTTTTACTTCTCGTTCATCCTTTTTAGTTCTCGTTCATCCTTTTTTGTTCTCCTTCATCATTTTTTGTTCTTTTTTGTTCTTGTTTATCCTCTTTTCTAGTTCATCCTTTTTAGTTCTCGGTCATCTTTTTTGTTCTTGTTCATCCTTTTTAGTTCCCGTTCATCATTTTTTTCTCGTTCATCATTTATGTTTTTGTTCATTCTTTTTTGTTCGCGTTCACACTTTTTTCTTGTTGATCCTTTTTAGTTCTCGTTCACCTTTTCTGTTCTTGTTCACCCACTTTTGAACTCGTTCATCATTTTTTGTTTTTGTTCATCCATTTTCTTCTCATTCATCCTTTTTTGTTCTTGTTCATCAAATTGTTCTCCTTCATACTTTTTTGTTCCTGTTCATCCTTTATTTCTCCTTCATCCTTTTTTGGTCGTGTTCATCGTTTTTTTTTTTTTTTTCTCGTTCATACTTTTTTGTTCCCCCTCATCATTTTTCTCGTTCATCATTCTTAGTAATCGTTCATCCTTTTTTGTTTCGTGGTCATCCTTTTATTCCTCGTTCCTTCTTTGTTCTTGTTCATCTTTTTTTTTTTCTCGTTCATCATTTTTTTGTTCTTTTTCATCATTTTTAGTTCTCGATCATCCTTTCTTGTTCTCGTTCATCCTTTTTTGTTCATTTCAACCGTTTTTTGTTCTTGTTCCTCATTTTTTGTTCTCCTTCGTCCTTTTTTTTCATTCATCCTTTTTGTTCTTGTTCATACATCATTTTTCTTGGTCATCCTTTTTTGTTCTCCTTCATCCTTTTTTGTTCTTCTTCATCCTCTTTTTTCATTCATCCTTTTTGTTCTTGTTTATACTTCAGATTTTCTTGTTCATCCTTTTTTCTCGTTCATCCTTTTTTGTTCTCCTTCATCATTTTTTGCTTTTGTTCATTCTCTTTTTTCTAGTCCATCCTTTTTGTTTATTCTTCTTGTTTATTTTTTTAGTTTCCGTTCATCCTTTTTTTTCTCGTTCATCATTTTTTATTCTGGCTCATCCTTTTTTGTTCTCATTCACCCCTTTTTGATGTTGTTCAGCCTCTTTTTTCTCGTTCATCCTTTTTTGTTCTCATTCACCCCTTTTTGATGTTGTTCAGCCTCTTTTTTCTCGTTCATCCTTTTTTGTTCTCGTTCATCCTTTTTTGTTCTCGTTCATCCTCTTTTGTCTAGTTCACCCTTTTTAGTTGTCGTTTATCCATTTTTTCTCGTTCAACTATCTTTGTTCTTGTTTATACTTTTATTCTCGTTCATCCGCATTTCATAGTTCATCCGTTTTAGTTCTCGTTCATCTTTTAATGTAGCTTTTCATCCTTTTTTTCTAGTTAATAATTTTCAGTTCCCGTTCATCATTTTTGTTCTTGTTCGTCCTTTTGTTCTCCTTTATACTTTTTTGTTCTTGTTCATCATTTTTCTTTCCTTGTTCATCCTTTTTTTTTCAGGTTCATCGTTTTCAGTTCTTATTCGTCATTTTTCTTTCCTTGTTCATCCCTTTTTACTCGTTCATCATCTTTTGTTCCCGTCCATCCTTTTTTTTTATTCTCGTTCATCTTTTTGTTCTTGTTCATCCTTTTTCTTCTCGTTCACACTTTTTTGTTCCTGTTCATCCTATTTTTTCTAGTTCTTCCTTTCTAGTTCTCGTTCATCCTTTTTTGTTCTCGCCCATCCTTTCTTACTGTTCTCGTTCATGCTTTTTTTCTCGTTCATCCTTTTTTGTTCTCGTTCATCCTTTTTGGTTGTTGTTCATCCTCTTTTTTTCGTTTATCCTTTTTTGTTCTCGTTCATCCTTTTTGGTTGTTGTTCATCCTCTTTTTTTCGTTTATCCTTTTTTGTTCTCGTTCATCCTTTTTGGTTGTTGTTCATCCTCTTTTTTCATCCTTTTTTTGTTCTCGTTCATCCTTTTTGGTTGTTGTTCATCCTCTTTTTTTCGTTTATCCTTTTTTGTTCTCGTTCATCCTTTTTGGTTGTTGTTCATCCTCTTTTTTTTCGTTTATCCTTTTTGTTCTCGTTCATCCTTTTGGTTGTTGTTCATCCTCTTTTTTCGTTTATCCTTTTTTGTTCTCGTTCATCCTTTTTGGTTCATCCTTTTTTTTCGTTTATCCTTTTTTGTTCTCGTTCATCCTTTTTGGTTGTTGTTCATCCTCTTTTTTATAGTTCATCCGATTTAGGTCTTGTTCATCCTTTTTTGTTCTTGTTCATCCTTTTTTTCTCGTTTATACTTTTTTGTTATTGTTCATCCTTTTGTTTTGCATCCTTTTTTCTTCTTGTCCGTTTTTGTTCTCGTTCATTCCTTTTTTTCTCGTACATACTTTTTTGTTCTCGTTCATTCTCTTTAGTTCTCATTTATTTTTATTTTTTTCGTTCTTGTTCATCATTTTTTGTTCTCGGTCATCTTATTTGTTTTTGTTCATCCTTTTTAGTTCCAGTTCATCTATTTTTATTCTGGTTCATCCTTTTTTGTTCTCGTTCTTTTTTGTACTTCATCCAGTTTTTTTTGTTTTGTTTTTTTCTACCTTTTTTGTTCTTGTTCATCATTTTTTGTTCTTGTTTATCCTTCTTTGTTCTTGTTCATCTATTTTTTGTCGTTCATCCTGTTTTCTATTTCTTCATTCTGTTTTGTCCTCGGTCTTCATTTTTTTGTTCTTGTTCATCCTTTTTTTTCTCGTTCATTCCTTTTTCTCGTTCATTCTTTTTAGTTCTCGTTCATCTTTTTTGTTCTTGTTCGTCCTTTTTTTCTCGTTCATCCTTCTTAGTTCACGTTCATATTTTTTGTTTTGTTCATCCTTTTCAGATCTTGTTCGTTCTTTTTTTCTTCTCGTTCATACTTATTTGTTCCTGTTCATCTTTTTTTCTCGTACGTCCTTTTTTGTACTCGTTCATCCTTTTTTGTTCCCGTTCTTCCTTTTTGTTCTTGTTCATCATTTTTTGTTCTTGGTCATCGTTTTTTCTCGTTCATCCATTTTTGTTCTTGTTCTTCCTTTTTAATTCTCGTTCATCTTTTTTTGTTCTCGTTCATCCTTTTCTGTTCTTGTTCATCCTTTCTTTTCTCGTTCATCCTTTTTTCTCGTTCATCCTTTTTTCTCGTTCATCCTTTTTTGTTTTTGTTCATCTTTTTTTTCTCGTTCATTCTTTTTTCTCGATCATCCTTTTTTCTCTCATTCATCCTTTTTTGTTCTCGTTCATCCTCTTTTTTCTCATTCATCCTTTTTAGTTGTCGTTTATCCTTTTTAGTTCTTGTTCATCCTTCTTTGTTCCTGTTCATGCCTTTTTTCTCGCTCGTCCTTTTTTGTTCTCGTTCATCCTTTTTTTTTCTTTCTTCCATTTTTATTCTTGTTCATAAATTTTTGTTCTTGTTCATCCTTTTTTATTTTTTTCATCCTTTTTGTTCTCGTTCAACTTTTTTTATTCTCGTTCATCCTTTTTTAGTCTCGTTCATCCTTTTTTAGTCTCGTTCTTCCTTTTTTTCTCGTTCATCCTTTTTTTTTCTTGTTCATCCTTTTTTGTTCCCGTTCATTCTTTTTTTTTTTTTTTGTTCTTGTTCATTCTGAGATAAATACACTTATTCCGGTCTTCGTCCTCTTGTTTTTCTTCAGCTTGCAATATATATAAATTTAGGATACGTATATTTGTGTTTCTTCATCGAATAGGATTAATTCTTCTTCTATCAGAATATTCACAAATGGACATATGCTTAAATTTATAAACTAATTATTTTTAAATGTGAGGCCTTATTGTTTTTTACGGTCAAGTTTAATAATAGTTGTTTTCATGGCCAATGCAAGGGTCTTGTGCCTCTGACTACGAATCTATGATACAACCTCCCGAATCTATGGTAGACTTCCCACTCTCAATTTACATAATTTAGTACTCATATAAAATACAAATCTAATTATATACAATAATGGATCATATGAAATATAGATGGACAATTCAACTAGAAAAAATGAAAATAAATGCAATATATCTAAATTCAAATTAGAGACATATCATAATAGATGACTCCATCTTAAACAGTATTTTGCAGCAGTTATTAACATCAACTTGAGATTTTTCTTCTTAAAATTTGAAGAATTTTAATACAATACATCATTATGGATAAAAAAAAAAAGTGAATTTTATATTGCGTGTTTTTACGAGACTTAACATGAGCGAAAGAATGGCTCCAGAGTAAAACTTCAAAATCGTCGACAACTTTTCATCCTTTAATAATAGTCAGTTGTGTTTAGTTTAATTTGTTATGTATGTAAATGTAGGTAAAATAAAGCAAACGTTGATAAGGTAGCGAGGGCCAATCAGGCTTGCCTCCGATCGGAGGAATCGAGGGTACTACGTACCAGCCTTGGTTCTTTTATACGACTGTGTAACAGGACATGTAACCATTTATTCGTTTATTTACAAAAATCTCTCTCAATGTATAAAAAAGCGCGCTCGCACAGAGAGAGAGAGAGAGAGAGAGAGAGAGAGAGAGAGAGAGAGAGAGAGATATCGCCGATCCTTACATGGTGACTGTCATTTCGGCACATTCTCAGTCCTTTGTCTTTGAGGTTCGTTTCACGGATTAACACCACCGATAGCCACTTCGCTCATTCATCATCTAAACAACGATTTTCAAAACTGCTAAGAAGACGACAAAAAAAAAAAAAAACTTCCCAGAAGAAAACAACGACAATCACCGCCACTATAGTGACGGCTTTCAGTTTTACGAGAAATCTTCAGATAAAAAATCCCCACCACTACCACTAAAAAAAGTCTAAGGAAAAAGTGAGAGAGAACGAAAGAGGAGTTTAAGAACGACGGCGAATATAGTAGAGCGGAAGTGGGTGGAAGGACGTCCAGTCGATAAGGTCGGCAGTTACATCTCGCTTTGACATGTGCTACTTTCTCTCCCATCATGCGCCAAACGCTGGAAAAACCGGAAATTTGGTAATGCTCTTTTAAATGAACAATACATGAACAATCCTTATATATCAATTTGTTGGGTCGGGCCAACGATAGGCGGATAAGATTTCTCTTCATCAGTGTCAGCGGAGTGCATTAGGTCACTTCCGGTACATGTGCCTTGGCGCTCGGCTGGCTGTCCTCATCCCTGAAGGAGAAAACACATGCAATAGCGTCATATTTTAGGATGAAGCCGGGCAATGCTGCCATAAGATTTCTATCTTGGAAACTACTTTCTGTCAAACACTTATATTTCTGTCTTGCAATGTTGACTTCCTTGTTTAGCTTCATCAACAAAGAGCCTCTCACTTGTATGTCTATCGATCTATTATATTCTTTCAGTTCAAATAGACACTCTCCATGTCTCTCTCTCTCTCCGTATGCCCTCTCTCTTTTCATATGTCTCTCTATCTCTCAATGTCACTCTTTCTCTTTCACTGTCTATCTCTCTCTCCGTCACTCTCTCTCTCTCAGCGTCTCAATGTAACTTATTTTTCTCATTGCTTGTCTATATTTATATATATATAATAAGTATACACACAACTATATATATATATATATATATATATATATATATATGCACACACATATATATATATATTTGTGTGTATACTTATTTGATTGTCGCAAAATGTTCGTTAGCTTATTCAGTAGAAAATTTACTTTATGAACCAAATGAACGTTTTGGTCGCCAACCCATCAATAAATCCGCTGTTAAATTATTTAAAGAAAGCATTTTGCACAATGAATATTTACATATATATATATATATATATATATATATATATATATATATATATAAATCACTTTTTGAATAAGTTGAAAACTTATGGAAAACTACTACTACTAATAATAATAATAATAACAAACAAGCAGGACTACACAGATTTAGTAATAAATTTTTAACTGTTGCCCTCTGTACTTTTCAAGCCAATGACCATTCGCAGATAAAAGTCGGTCTCTCTTAAAAATACTGTGATGTCGTAGGACGCACAGATTCGTAAATAATCTGAAATCCTGGAATGGAATAAATATAAATTATAAACTTTTTCTCCACATGAAAGTTAATATTAGAATTATTTGTCTTAGTTTTTCTCACATGAGGCATGGTTCATGTGTAATCTGGAGATGCATGGTATTTTTACATTACAGATAAATTGCAATAAAATTATTTTTTTACCTGCATCTAATTTTATTACAAAGATTGTTGCATTATTAATATTCTTAAAAATATTTTTTTAATTTACCATTTAAATATGAGTGTGACCAAAGAAATTTAAAAAATTATATTGATTTATATATGATTATAGAAACATGAAATGCGATCAATTTCCTCACGAATGTATTCTAATGTCGCCCCATAATATATATATATATATATATATATATATATATATATATATATATAACTTTTTTTTTTTAATATATAATCATACCAACACCGAAATGATCGAATTTGAATTGAAGTTTCAGTTTGGAAACATGGGAATTCTGATGTTGCGATGATTATATATTTTAAAAAACACAATTATACTATGCTCTACGGTTGTATCGAGCACTGATTTTTAAAAGTAAAAATAAATGCTCTGAATAGTCTGAATTATAAATCTCATTGTTCTTTCCTATTATATATATATATATATATATATATATATATATATATATATATACGCGTTGCCTGGGTTTATTAAAAAAAAAGATCACGAACCTCATCCAATCTGTAAAGTTAAAATAATAATGATATGAAGTGTGAAAACATTTATAACAGGAGAAAGTTGCACAGAAGATACAAAAAAAATTGTCTACAAATGAAGAGTACATTAATCGCAATCGATCTTCGAAAATTGCATTGTAGAAATGCTTTGTTGACAGCTTTTGCTCAAACTACATTGAATGAACAACATGCATTGGAAGGAGGAGAAATTCAACAAAGACTTCTCCTAGCAGCCGTGCCAAGGCTGAAAACCAACGTTCACAAAGACTGTATAGAATGTTAAAAACTGTATAGAATGCTTTGCCCCTCAATTTCGACAGCTCGTGTAGCAGTAGTTCTGGCAGCGTTCCTTACTTGTCTAGTTAACCATTGCTCATTAGTTTCTGCTGTACGAATAGCATTTTGTGTCAGTCTAATTTGAGTTTCTTATTGCGAAGCGTTTCTTCTCCGTGCTTTCATGCGTTTGGCTGTAGTAGTAGCACATCCAAGTGAAGGATTTCGCTTTCTTGGCATTACTGTCAGGCTGTAGTTGGAGGGGTTTGGCTAAGCTTTTTGAATAACAATGAAGTAATCAATTAAAAGTAAGAATATTATACACATTAATGGAAATATAGCCACAATAAATTAAATGCAAGTTTATAAGGGAGACCACGGGAACGTCGTAAACAATTATAAGCAAGCTCGTAAAGTTAGGATTTATCTAAAAATAGTCTACCAAAAAAACGTTCTAGTGATAAAAATAAAAATTAACGTGCAGCTAGAAACCTACTCACTATGAACTTTAAAACGTACACACTAAGTTTAGCATAATTATAAATGAATCGAAAGAGGCTCTTTACATTATTATAAGTGCATTTTTAGAATAAAACTGTCAAAATTTTAGAACTCAAGTTTCCAAATATACGAGTTAGTAAGCATTATTTAAACGCTGATTAGAAGATGATAAATACATAGTTAAAAATTGGCATTTAAGTTTAAACATTTTTAATAATATGATTTTCACAAATTTAAATTTAAAGTATCAAAAATTCAAAATATACATGCATGAAGGCAGCCTACCTTTTTACTGGATGACAACTTTGATGCGAATGAGATTTTTTGCATTTATTTCATCACATAGCACTAATGAATACTACACGTGAAGCAAAATCGATAGTACCCACTACATAACTCGATCAATCATTGCACGTTGAGCAAAATCAATTGTACACACTACACATCTCGATCGATCTCTCACACGCGTCTTATACCTACGTGCACTTCTCTCATCGGTGCACACTTTCACTTATTCTTTTTTCTTAAGGAAGGATATAATTTTTGCCGTCAAGTTAATGCAAACTAAGCTATTTCAGTACCAAAACGGGAAATCCATGGGAAAAACTGATATTTTTCATAATGTATTTATGACACTTGCGGGTGTCAGTTTTGATTTGAGTTGATTGATCTAAACACAAATTATGTGCAAATTTTCATCGGAATGCTGCTAACCACCTACAATTGAAAGACTAATGGCGCAGCAAGGTGTTCATGGGTCATCTTGGGGGCCCCTTATGTAGTTTTCAAAATCTGATAATCGTTTTTGATTCATTTTAAAATTGTAACATACATATAAAATTTCGTCGAAATCGAAGCAATTTGAAAATTTGGGGGACCCTTTGGTTCACCCTAGGAGTCCCAAATTTCAAGCCAAAGGACAGGTTTAAGACTAATAGTAATTGAAATAATAAAGCACTTCTTTTTAAAGTTTTCTATTTAATCGACTTTATGGCCAAGGCTGTAGACTTAATTGAAAAGTGGGGGTCCCAGTGTTGATTTTCAGTGAATTCCAACTGACTACTTCAGTTACTCGATATAATCTCAATATGTACTGAAATTTTTCTTTGAAATTGGGGAATA